CATAATTATGTTTGTTCAGTTATGCGACGGATTCAAAGCCAAGATATGAAGGGTCACTTTCTGCAAAACGCAAATAGGGTTTATTATCCAATCCAAACAAAGATATCAGTTACATTGTTTGATTTTTTCTTGATCACGCTCTGCCCTAAACTAGTCAACAATTAGTCAAAGGCTTACCACAAGACGTTCGCCGGATGCGGCATCAGAAGAATAAAGAATCTTTGAGATCGAACATGTGTCCAAGTGATCTTGTAGCCTAGTTTAGAAATCAATTCCCTAAAAAGCGACCAAATATTGGCTTAACCGAGTAGACTAGCTAAGGCTTAGAGTCAATTCCCATCGGTTCCAATACCTCCACATTAAAAACACCAGATTCTTCTAGTTTGTTTCGATATCAGTAAACAAGACAAAGTTTTCGAAGCACGTTCATCTCAAGTATAGAACGAATGACTACAAATTTATTTTCTGGTTTTCTCTCGTCATTATTAGCAGTGTTAAAATGCTCTCCGTCTTGCTCTCATTAAAATGGAGCAAAAGCAAGACATTTGTCTTTCACTGAGCCCCAAACGTCTTTGACCAGTAGTGCAACCAGGGTGTTGCACGGAACGTCCCCAACTTGAGTTGTTTAGACTTGTAGGCCTCTATTATTATCATTATTATTATTATTATTATTATTATTATTACTTAGGCTGTCAAGGTAACACGTGCACAAGAAAGGAGATAACTAGAGCGAGGGTGTCTCCTAAGAACACAATTGCTGCCATGTCAAAGATCGCCGTTTCCCTATCAGGAGTGAGGCTAGTGCTTGTTCGTCTAATTATTCCTGTTAACCAGATCCCGACTCAGTGTGCCTAGATTTACGTTTTCAACAAGAGAAAATACATGCTATCTTGGTTTTCAATTTTTCCCACAACGATCATGGTTTTCCATAGGTGTGTGATAACCTTTTCTACCGCAAAAAGTTACGCTCTCTTTGAGAATGACGCCATTAATTAAATAGCACTCTCCATCCACGATGTCATTCACTGGATCCAAATCAAAACCAAAGGAGTATCAAATTGAGATGACGCTCCTCTGCGTTTCACAATGATATTTTCTCTCTCACTAAATCTGGAGTAGCACATCTCTGCACCCGTCAACTCTGCGATACAAAGGGCGGCCTAACCTAGCTGTTTCAATTCTCAGTAAACTACTCGCCCAAGGGGGTTTTTTAAGGCCAAAGTGCTTGCAACAGGGAAACGATCATTCCAAATTAACATTGACTTGGTAAGGAATTGTGATTTTCAATGGGTAGACCTTACTTCCCTAGCTCGCAGGAACACAAATTTTACAAGGGCACACTACCAATACACTCACAAGCACTTCCCAGTAGGTTACAATTTTTATGAACAAGCCAGTTTTGAAGAACTGTTGATCTACAAGGCTGAAGTTGAACATATACACAAATCCTTGCATGATCGAAAATAAGCCTCACCAGATTCGAATGTATAATGAGTACATTCTTCAGCAGTCGGTACGTTATGAACTGAAAAACAGTCTTACTCACGCTCAGTGAGTGGAATTTATAAAATACCAGAGCCATCGTCACTCTATGGAACTGTATGCATGCAATGCGGCGGGTTAAGCAAAAATTTATGGAAAGTTTACGGAATGAGTTGGATAGGACGAATATGTTTTTGTTCCCCTTTTAAGATGAATAAGTCAGTTAACCAGCCAGTGCAATAATTGACGTCTGTTTATCTACTTCAATAAGAAAGCACTTAGGTTACCTTTAGGAAGTAATGGAATCCTGAAATGGAGTTTCTGAAGATTGCCTCAATATAAGAGAGAGCGTGTTGGACTGATATTGAAAAAGAAAGACCTGGTTCTGAAGGTACTTATTTTGGAAAAATATCTTTCACAGCGAGTCCACAATAGGAGCCCTCAAGTCAACTATGAACGGAAAACAAAAATATTTACAGCCATAACAATGGTTGTAGCTTTAGACCACGCGGCTCGTTATCAAAAGTGTCGTGTTAGTTTTTTGTTGTTTTTGACTCCTTCGGTTTTCTTTTTAAGGCTGATCTCTAACAAGATGTTTGACATGTTTTAAGACTCGATGACAAGGATATCAATAATATGAAACCAAAAACAACATTACTCGCATTCTTACATGAAAGATATCACTTTAATGTTTTTCTAGCTGCGCCTTCTCTCTTTGGCGAATGAATTTTTGTGAGAACACAGACGAACGCTGATTTTTTTATACTGCATAGCAAAAATCCCCAAAACAAAGAAATTTCCCATTACCTTCCACTTTCATAATTAACATAAATTACAAGAGAGGCTAGACAAAAGCCAAAGTGTCATCTGCTTGGCACGCAGTGGAATTCATCAACGTCATGGAAACCCAAAAAATGTATGTAATGAGAGTCTCTGCTTTTCAATTTAAACAATACCATGTGAGGTTTTTTCAGATGACATCTTTTGTTACATGCTTCAGTTAGCAGGAAAGACAATGCAACCTTGCTCAGCAAACAAAAGCTTTTAATTTCTCGAAGCATTGCGAAGTACCTTTTCAAACGAGGGCTTGCATATAACTTGGTTTGGTCTTTTTCCTGACAACCAGCAAAATCATCGTTGCTGATTGTTATTCGACAAGAAGCTGGTATTCATTCACGGTCTGTCTTACAACACACTTGACGTGGTGTTATAAAAGCTCCTGCTACTCTATATTACGCAAATGAAGAAGTTATCTCCGACTCGTTCGCCCGCCCTCAGCGATCTTCTTAAAGAAACTGTGGGATCAAAGTTAAGTGACAGAAAAGGAGACTACGCCGACTTCGAATTTAAGACAGTACCTAAAATGACGATGAGATTATCAAGGAACCGATACTCTCATGACTTATCTCGAAAAAACCGTTTGTCTGAAGCAACTAAGGTACTGCTACAGATACTACACGAACAAGAACGATCAACAATACAAGAATACACTTTAAACAGTGTCACTTTTAAAGTATTTGTCGTAGAGGATACAGATCTCTAACATTCTAACCTAGGCGATGTGGATTCACATGATTCGATGACGCTTCGAGACGTTTCTCTTTGGCGAATAATGGTGGTTGTGTAGTTTATGCAGTCATCTGAATTTCGTGGCTAGGAGAACCAGTACTAATAGGATTTGTGCAAAACTCTCACAAAATGTTAATCGTATCAGCTTGGACTTAATTGTGCACGAACTTTTACCTCAATGCCGTGTACTTGAACAAGACGAATCTCTGGATATATATACTTTCTCAATCATTATTGATTAACATCACTGAATGTGTATTATACAAACACCTCTCAGAGGAGAACAATTTTGGATTGATTGTGTCACGAGTGTGGATACTCCTGCAAAATTTAACTTGTGGTAAATCGATATAAACCTATTAATGCGAGAAAAGGATTGAATTTTCTATGAATAACAAAGCCTCCACTAATCCATTCTTGTTACGCGAACAGAGGTCCAAGGTGGGATTATGTTCTGTAGAGAACTGCTTTAAACCACCATTTTTTTTTTCAAGGATAATGTATTAAGTTTACTGTATGTAGTTAATACCGTTAAATATTGCATTAATTACAGTAAGCCAACCGATTGGCGTCATAATCTTAAAACCAGTTCAAGAAAATATCTTAAGACATTATAGAATTGAACTTTGTCCAAAAATGTATTACCACATGATGTGTGCAGTAATAAAGTTGTCATGAAAAATGCTTACATGGGTAGCAATGATTTGAGTTGCAAGCTCAGTTTAATGTCGCTAAAAATTACTTTTTCAAGGAAAGAGGGAATTTGTGGTAGAAGCCGTTTTCAAGCAAGCAATTCATGCATTCATTATTAAAACGTGACGAATGAGAGCACTGCAAATTCACAGTTGTAATCATAAGCTAGGTATCATGTTGACACAATAATACAACATGCTTCAGTAGAAGCATCAAAACCCAAAGACTTTAAAATTTTGTCACGTACTAGAGGTACCATTATACTTTATGAGGGATGAGTATGCCGCGGAATACATGTGGGAGTCTGGGTAACACAATTAGAGCAACTATCTGCTGCATTTTTTTTCAATTCAGTATACAATATACAGTGGTTGGAATTGGAACGCGGTAAACAGCCCACCAACAATATCCATGGTGTACTTCATTTTCCTCGTATAATATGGGCACAGGTGGTTTTTGAACAGTATGTTTGGTTTTCGATCAAAGGAGCTGAGCTCAGCTTTGTTTTGCTGGTACACTCACGTTTAACCAGGCAGGTTTGAAATTTGGCGCCGTTGTGGTATAAAGAGGTATGAACCGAAAAAAGATGAATGAAAATGGTAATATACTTTACGAAAAGCGGATGGTTCCAGCAGTCTTTTGCCAATATTTATAAATGCATGATGACGCCTTTAAGTTAATACACAAGTTCAGTTTTGGTTAGGGCCGCTAATTAGGATAACTTATTAAAAACGATCGTCCTCAATTTTCAAGCGTGATCATAATTTCCTCAGTCGGAGTAGCTTCACGTTTTGAAAAAAACCTTTGAGTTTCTTTACTATACCATTAGAAGCCCATTGCAGTAAGTGAAAATTAGATTTCTTGAAAATTAGGACCGTTGAAACAAAAGAGCACCATTTCTTTAAAAACAAACGCGAGATTTGCATTTCTATAAGTGAAGTTCTCAGGAAAAAAACGACTTGTTTGCAGACCGAAACACGTAAAAGTAGTTATCCAACTATCGCCATGAAACCGAGAGCCCACTGAGTTCTTCGGAGTCAGTTTAGCCAAATGCAGTGGTTCTGACTGTAAAGAAAATGGCGAGCTTATACACAGTTTGGCAAGTCGGTGAGAGTTGTACACACACATAAGCCTTCAGAAAAAAAATATCACCTGATCGGCTTGACTATATGGCCATTTGCATTTATCACAATCTTTTGAGGAACTCCACTATTATTGGTAGTACAGCATGTGTTAACATGCCGGTAAGATAATTCATTTAGCTGACACGTGTGAAAAATGAAAGTAATTATAGTTAAGATCTACACCGAAATAATCAGCGGGGCAGGTGAAAAGTCAGTTAGTTATCAAGTCCACAGCAACAGAAAAACGATTTGTTGATGTTCTAGCCCTGCACACCTTGTTCAGTCGTCAAAAGCGTGAGAGCTAGGTAAGTACAACCTCTTAGACCCTACGTACGCCTTTTCAAAGCCACAACTGATTTTCACTTTGGACACTATACGCTACAAATTTCCTCCTCAAAAAATTTCGCTTTCCTTCTCGTCCAAATAAATCAAACGTTTCATTTTCCTTTACGGAAAGCAAGGTCCATCCTTTAAATTTGTGTTTAACGGCACAAGTGAAGAATGAAGTAGTTTCCGAATACGAAAGTGATCTTACCATATCTATTATGGCCTCAGAAATTGGAAAAGCATTTGCGTGGTTAAGTAACTTGTACCTTTCTAAAATAGGTTTTAAAAAAAAGTAGGTGGAAAACCATTGAGGAAATCACGAAAGGAAGATTCGTGCCACCAGCTACATCAAAATTGACCATGCTAATATTAAACATTTTACGAGATATCGTGGAATAGCTTTCGATGCTTTTTGTTCGTGTTGCAGTATTAATTTTCTCTTATCTCAACAGCTGACCAAACGGAGTCAAATCAATCGCCTTACTATGATAAAGCACGCTATTTTTGTCTATATTTTTGTTTCTCTGATGCTTGGTTCTTTCGCCCATCCCATTTTAAGAACAAGATTGTCGCAAGACATGTCAGGCACAAGGCAATTACTGGAAGGTACGTCATTTTAAAACTTTATTTTAAAATCGAAAAACAGATAATTTATCATCCAAAATTCAGATATTTAAATACATCAAAAGACATTAGAGCCAAGACACAATTCAAACCCATAAAGTATTGGCTCATGTATTATATAACGAGAAATTTAAAAAAAATCTTTTGTGCGGTTTGCTGTCAATGTGTAGTCGTTTAAAGATATCAAAAGCAAGCCGGTCGTGTCCACATTTAAAAAAAAAACCACCGAAAAACGTTTTTTCCAGTCGATGCCGATCAACTTTTCCAAATTAACCCGAGAAATATCGTTGCATATTGTGAGTTAAGGAATATTTGAAGTGATGTATCTTTCAAAATTTTATTCACGGATAAAATCGTACGCTTCTCATGAAAATTCACTCCCTCCGGTGGTTATGAACTTTCGAAAATTTACTTTCATAAATTAATCAAGAAAACAGCGGCCCATAGATCGAACAGATTATTTCAAACTGAGAATAAGGAATAAGTGCAAAAAACTTAATTTAAATCATGAATCGAGAATAATAAATGGGCGCATGTATGTATGGAATTTCTTTTGGTGTGTTCAACTCGATATCTCACGAGCGAGTCAGATATCGAGTTGAACACGGGAAGAGAAATTCTATACCAAAAAGAAAATATGTATCATTTTTTATCATATAAACACCATAGCCCTAAACCGACAAGAAAATTGGACAAGCGACCTTGGATTGAGAATGGTGAACGCTTTGCCATTCACTCATCAACCCGACAGTGCGGCACGCAAGGCGATTGAAGTATCAGCGGCTGATTGACGATATCAGAATCTCACGTAAAAATTATCGCAATTTTACACGGGTTTCCTCAGGGATGGAAATTCTTGTAAACACCGCAGTTAAAATAAATATATCTTTAACATTAATTATACCACGAGCTTCTCAAACAATTTCTCACCCGCTATGCGTGAACTCTTTCAGATCCAGAGAAAATGGGATCATTGTTTTCTCTTGTTCAGATTGAAGTACAAAACTTGACGTACCGTTTATCTTATTTTGTGACTCAAGCATGAATGCGCTATGCAACTTAGCCTACTTCGAGAAGAGGAAGAAAGGAATGGCATTTCATTATAATCAGAAGCATACATTAAGTACATATAGTATGCATAAAATATAAAGCTTCATTAGCCTCCACGGGGGAAAATAATGAGGTTTTATTTTCACTTGGTCTTTAGCCTGAGCATGAAATTTTCCCCTTGTGATGCCATGTGTCAATGATCTATCGTCAGAAAAATGAGTGAACTTCAATGCCAGATCCTAAGACTGATTTAAGCTGTCTAAAAACGGTTCCACGTTTTCTTTTCTTTTTTTGTTACGTTTATTCTTTGATGGTTCGATCCTACCACACTTTAGTAGGCATCGAACAAAAGCATTGTTTAAAAAGTCACCATCTTTATCAATTATCTTAGAAACTCCATTTCATTTCTACTTTGGTCTACTTCATGTGACTCACGGCTGTTGCTTAAGGTCGTATTGTAGCTTCATCTTCCTTACACGATCTAGACGTTAGCGTGACTCTGAACATGTAAGATTTTTTAAAACTCTGTGTGAAGATGACTTTTGATCTGCTGATTTCAGTTTTATCGATGAGCAAAATAATTCATCCGCGAGCTCTTTTTTACCTTGACAGAGAAGCAGTTCTGTTCCCCTCATAACTATCTCTTAAGCCATTGCTGGGGAAAATTTATTTGAACCTCACTAGTACTTGTTTCAAGTTGCTCTTGTGTGATTAAATTTGGACGTTTGCTTAGAAATGCAGTGCACGCCATCTGCAGGACGAATTGAAATATTGAACGATTTTAAATACCATTTTAAGGGTGCTGTCCAGCATAGGCACTAATCAATGAACTAATGAGCGAAATTCTACCAAATAGCTTAGACAAATTTACGCAAACGTTTTGAGTAGCTGGAAGAATAAGCTTTCATTCTTTCCCAAGAGTATTTAAACTGTTTTGGTGAAAGGAAAGGATTAGGCATCGTGTCTATCGTGCGTGATTGGTGCATTTACAATTTATCATTGTGTAACGGTTCTGATGACCATAACGAAAGGTATCAAAGGAAAAGTTGTGAGTGCTCTCAGAAAGCCTGACATCCAGTATGACTACATTTT